GTTTGTGGTGGGTGTCCGTGGGTGATCCTGGGGGTGAGGGAGGGACGTGTAGGTGGTGTTTGTTGCAGCTGCAGAACCCGCATGGGCGGTTGTCGCACTGGGGTGTTTGTTGGCGACGCCACTGTTGTGTGTTGCGGGGGCAGACTCCTGCAGCATGGGGCAACGTACGACTCACTCCACTCACGTGTGGTGCGCAGGCCGGAACACGCCGGGAAGTGACACCAGCCAGCACAAGAGTTGCACTTGACTGATGCGACGTTCCGACGTATGGCGGTCTGACACACGGAACAGACTGTGCGAGGAACCAAGAGTTGCTGATTGGTTCTTGCACGAGGATTGGAGCGGGATGAAGGTTGGGGGGGGGGACAGGTCAGAGTGGGAGCTATGYTGCCTAGTKGAGCTCCGGGGGACCGTGGAGGTCCTCTGKTGGCCACTCGGGGTGGGTGGCGGCGCGGCGCGCGAACTAAGTGCAGACTGCACAGCCGTAGAGGCTAACGTCGCAGTATTGCGTAGGCAACATGGGGCCACGTATGGGTTATGGGCCTTCGGCCACGCTTCAAAAAAAAAAAATAACCCTGGCCGATCCAACATCAGGTGCATCAGGTTTTTTTTTTTTGAGTAAAACTTGCTTGTTATAGCAAGAAAAGAGATAATGATTTATGTATTTTGGGGATAAACCTATTTTTTATTCGTTTGATAAATGTGTAGTTACGGCAATACTTATTATTTGACAACACGGAACACTTATTGTTATTGTGCGTGTAATAATATTTATGTAAAATATAAAATGCATATTTTAGCAAATATTTAAAATATTAATAAAAAATAAATAAGTAGAAATATTGTAGTGAAGTGTAAGTGTATAAAAAGTGCAAAATATTAAAGAAAAAGTTACTATAAATCGAGAAATTACAAAATTAAAATTCCATATATCTCGAAAACTATAAGTTTGCGGCGGCAACAATTATATATTTTCTTAATCTGGAGCATAAGCCCTATTCATCCATACCACTTTTATCCCGGAAAACGAGCGTAAAATATAATTTTTAAAATGTAGATTTTTTAGGTAAAAAAAAAGCGAAAAATGTGAATAAAGTGTGTTTAAGGTGGTGAAATAGCGTCTTGAAATGTACGAATTTTGCGAATTTTTGAAATTTAAGGTCGAATATCTCCTAAACTAAGCGTTTGCGGTACCTATAACACCGTATATTTTTTTAATCAGGAAGGCTTCCTCTTTCCCAGGGTACCTTCAGATCGCGGCGCCAAAGAAATCGGAATTGTGCCAAACAGGCATTTTAAATAGTTGATTTTTTGAACTTTAAATGCAAATATCTCAAAAACTCTTTGTCAGAGGCAACTATATGTGTACATATTCTTGGTCTGGAGGTACATAACCCCGAAATCTGCAGATGCTATTCTAAGTCGCAGCCGTTTTATTTGAGGCTCTGAAATAAGTATTAGTTTTTAACATATACGAACCCTTTAAATAATTATTTTTCAACCGCTTTTGTATTAGGCGAGTACGAGATTTTATTCTTCATTTCCCGTCCGTGTATATTTTAAAAATATTCCATAACATTGTGTGGTAATGTAGAGATGGTTCATTATATAAAAGTGCTTAAACTTAAGAATTAACTAAATTGTTAATGGCCTGAAACCAATCCACTTTAATGTAAATCTCAACCAAATTTCTTTGAATAATCTATTTGTGTCAAGATAAGAATATAATAGGAAGGGGATACATGTACGTATGTGAATATGTCTATACATATATACATATTCAAATATGAGAAGTGTATGTATTCATTTATTTTCACATTTCGGAATTTTATCGATGTTAAATAAAACTTTGTGGTTATTTCATTAATAATCTTCATTTTGCATTCACACATTCATTTACCGTATATCTGCTATTATTTGGAACTATGTATATATTTTGCGACATGGCCTTTTCCACGTTGTTTGATTTGGACCTCTGTGAACGGGGATAAGGCCCACCGACATTTAACCCCAACTTTGTTAAAAAATCATCACTTTACTTGGATGGCGAAATCAAATATATGTATCACTCCCGCAAACCAAATTATTTTACTATCGAATTATTGAACAATTACGGAAATTAATTATTCGAGAAAATTCGAATCTATCGATAGTACAATCGGTTTTAAAAGTGAATACACACACTTGAAACAAATAAATAGCTAGATGTGACGGGGCATCTCAACAAGCAAATATTTATTGTATACTAACTATATTGCCTGTGCATGCTCTATATTGCTCAAGGTTTTAGTATGACTTATATTGAAAGCAATGAACTGCCACTTCAGCAGTTTGACAACTCAGTTTTCATTTCTGTGAAAATTTCGAAGAGGCAAAACATTCCATTTACACATATACCGGCAGTTTCATTTCGGTAATTTTAAATTTAGTAGAACGAGTATTAGACGGTAGTAAAGAATTATAAAAATAAAGTACATTTTCATAATAAATTTTAGATATTTGCAAAATTAATATTTTGTTTAGTATTTTTAATTTGCGGAAAAATTTTAATCTTTGCGGTCGAGGCGTGAGAGTTTGAGGCTTCTCTTAAAATTGCTCTCTTATCACTCTATTATTCCCTCCTTTGTTATTTTTGCCATAATTCAACTTATTGCTGAGGAATGCTGATTTTTTTCGATATTGAACTTATTGACAGCCCTGCTTCCTTGTAAGCTTCAATTTTGGATCTCTCCTCAACAGATAGCGATTTTCCTTTACCCATATTAAAGCTAATAGTTTACTTTAGCAGTATAAAGAAATTGGTTGCAATACGCATTCAACTGTTCAAGATAAACTGAAAAGAATTTGCATGTTGACACAAAAATACAACACACTTCTCCATCAAAAATAATGGAAAATCGCGAAAACCAATTAACGGGATCTTTCTTTCACATGTTCTCTTTGCCAGTGATGGTGTATACGAAGATCAGAAAAATAGAGTAAAATAATTTTGCTGCTTCTTAACAAAAACAACTACAAGAGCAATTATATAAAGCTGATAGGGGGTGTGCTAACCTGATGATGCGCAGTGTATGTATGCATTTCCAAAGTGTTATAATTTATTAAATACCCAAGCAAATATTTTTCAGCAGTGGCAGCGTTGGCAAATGCTATAAAAAATACGAGTTATGACAGCTCTCTCGAACCAAAGAGTCTCGTATCAAGTTATCTATGCTGACTCAAGCAGCTCACGACTTCCGGGCCTTGACCAAGTATCCTCTGGGTAGCCTAAGAACATCCGTTTGAAGGTGAGATAAAGTGAGAAGGCGAAACATTCCCTGTATAGGGTTGTGCGCTGGATTTGGGACCCGCCACGTAAAAAACCCACCCCAATGACAACGCAATAACAGCCTCGGATGAGAGACCCCACTTTTGATGACGACCATGGCAAACGAAATAAGGACTACGAATTGAGGGCATGCACCTGGAATGTCCAGTCCCTTAATTGGGAAGGTGCCGCTGCCCAGCTGGTTGATGTCCTCGTAAAAATAAAGGTGACATCACCGCCGTCCAAGAAATGCGAAGGACAAGGACAGAGACGAGTAGGTCCTTGTGGCATTTACTACAGTGGCCATATAGTGGTGGGAGATAGACTCCGTCGCCGAGTACTATCATTCACCCCGGTGAATGAACGTCTAGCCACAATCCGCATCAAAGCGAGGTTCTTCAACATATCGCTGATTTGCG